CTCACCCAAACTCATCAAAGCCTGACTCTAGAGGGACCCCAAATAGTATCAAATGAATGAGAATAAAATATGGAGAGAGGAAGACTCAACCAAAATCTTTCTTCTCTTTAGTGAATAAGCCTCAATTGGGCAAAGCGAGAAGCTAAAAATTGAGCTTCTGTTTATTAGACTGGGCTAGATAGTTTTACTATCTGAGAATGACCAGAAGAGTTAAGAGCTGTGCCTGGATTTTTTTCTGGGAAGCAGTACATTGTTGTTTTAAGGTCTGTCCACAAATTCTTTGATACCCCTTCCTTCAAATGGAAGAGTTTAACCCACTTCTTCTTGAGTGTGAGGTAGACTTAATGACGCCCTTCTAGAGAAAAGACTATGAAGGAAGTAAGCTGGGCACAGCAGTGTATGCCTGTAATCCCAGCTACTTGGGAGGCTAAGGCAGAAGGATTGCTTGAGCCCATGGGTTTGAATCCAGCCTGAGCAACATAATGAAACCTCGTATCTGGAAAAAAAAATGGAAGAAGAAATGGTGTATGACTAGGGGCTATGTTGTAAAAAACATTACATTAGCTTCTTTCTTGCCTTCTCTCATAGAGTAAGATCACTTTTACTCTATGAGAGAAGGCAAAAGTTTTTAGTAACTTTTGAGTAAACCAGCTGTGTTGCCATGAGGACACTCAAGCAGCTCTATGGGGTCTGTGTTGAGAACTCAGAGCTTCTACCAAGAGACGTATTAGTGACCCATCTCAGAACCAAGTTTTCCAGCCTTAGTCAAATCTCCAGATAACTACAACCCCCACTGGCATTATGACTGTAGCCACAATGGAGTATGAAAGCAAGAATCACCTGGCTAATCTGTTCCTAGATTTCTCTCAGAAATTGCATGAGATATTGCATGTTTGTTATTATAAGCTGCCAAATTTGGGAGTAATTTGTTATGCAGCAATAGATAAATAATACGTAGTATTAAATCCACAGAGTAGATTAAAAGGGGCAGATATGAAATAGAATCTAGCTGCCTCCTGACTGTACTCTACCAAATCCAGCTGATTCAATAAATCGATCACACAGAAAATAGGTTTAATACCCCACAATAAAGACTTACTCAATCTCTGTCTCAACAGTTGCAATAATTTTTACAAGTGTGAAATACTGAGTTGTTTACCAGGTGATTTGGGAAGGTCAATTCTAAATAAAGTCCAACACTCCTGATATGGGAGAACATGGTTTAGCAGAGCAGTTACAGGCAGCTTTTTGTGCCAGATTACACTGGATTTGAATCTAACCTTTATCATCTATTAGAAATGTGATGTACAAAGTAACAACTATCTCTGTTTCCGTTTTCTCATCTATAAAACAGAGTAATAAGGAAAAACAATCCTTGTGGTGGTGAGATAATCAATTTTATGTACTTCATAGGAAAAGCTTCAACAGGTCAGAATATGAGACCATCAATATTTCTCCCAATCTATCCAATCATGGGAACAGAAGCACAGGCATCCACCTCTCCTTTTGTGTTCTAAAAATAACAGTGGGAAAGAAGAACCAATGGCAATGAAAGCTTAGTGGGGAAAGCTATGAAATATCTACAAATGAGAAGGAGGCAAAATGACAGAAGTAGAGCCATTGTTGCTTGAAGTTGCACTGATGCATCATACTTTGAACAAAACTAAAAAAAACATCTTTTTCCTGTTTCAAATGCAGTGTGTGGTTGACATGATGGGAGGCTAAAGTCACACACACACACAGAGACACAAACATACACATACATTCCTTTGGCCCTGGCACTAATATCAAAAGGTATGAAATTTGCACATCACCAAACAGTAGTGAGGAGACTGAGACCAGGTCATTTCTTAAAGGAGAAGTGGCAGATCACAGTTACAAAGAGAAAGCAACACTACATGAAAAAGATATCTCACCTCATGGCACCTCAGCCTTTCTCCCCAAAATCACACACCACTAAATGAGATGTCTACTCTGAGAATATTACTCCAACCATTTCTCCTATATAAATACTGACTTTTACTAGAATTCAAAGTGTATTTGCCTCAGAGAAATATCCATGAGATGAACAACAGTTAGAGAACATACTCATCAAGATGGAAAAGTCTACAAAACCTCTGTGTAGACTTTGGAACTGAGAAACACGTACTTTTAGATCCCCGAATGCAGACAGAGATAAAGTGGGGACATTTCCTCAACTTCTCCCCTGTGGTTGAAGAAAAGTCTACCATAACAAATTCCTGTAAAGTGTTTAGTATTACCCCGGCACAGAGCTTAAACTTATTTAATGAACCATGGGTAGTAAATCAGGATCCACAGAATTTCTCACTCCAAAACTTTGAAGTGAGATCATCAACCCAGACTTAGAAAGTCCAGGGACTTTTTCTGTCCTGCACCTATTTGCAGTTTTTCCTATGGAAGCCAAAGCCATTAAGAACTAAGGACAAAGCTGATGTTAAAGCATCAGCCCTGAGGTATCACAAGTCTCAGGGTCCTTCATAAGTCTCTAATTCAAGGTTTCATCCATGGTAAGATAAACTGTTACTGGGAGGGGAGAACTGAGAAAGACCACCTTGCTGCCTATCACCAGACTTTTATAGATTCATGTGTGGCAGAGTTTGTTTACATCAGTGCTACTGACATGTTGGACCAGAAATTATTTATTGTGGGTGCTGTCCTGCACCCTGTAGAACATTTAGCCACCTCTCTGGCCTCTACCCACTATGTGTCAGTAGCACCTCTTCCCCATTGTGACAAACAAAAACATTTCCAGACATTGTAAAATGTCCCCTATTGGCAAAATCTCACTCAGTTGAAAAGCAGTTTTCCTGTCACAGAAAACTCATTTCAAACTGAGTGCAGCACAAAAGGAGCATATTGGTTTATGTGATAAAAAAGTTTTGGCATAGTACCTGCCTCAAGAACAGCTGGATCCAGAGGCTTAGAGAGACGAATGACTTAGACTGTTCCTCTCCCTCTTCTCAGGCAGACTATCTTGATAAGATTACTGCCCCAAACTCTAGAATTGTATCTTTTTTTTTTTGAATTAAAAAAAAATCTGTATCAAGTCTGGCACAGTCATCCCAGCCACCTGGGAGGCTGAGGTGGGAGGATCACTTGAGCCTGGGAGGTTGAGGTGATCCTCCAAATGAGCTATGATCATGCCACTGCACTCTAGCCTGGGAGACAGAATGAAACCCTGACTCCAGAAAGAAAAAAAAAAAAAAACCCTCAATTCCTCAATATCAACATTGAAGTCTGATTTAAATCTCCAGTCCGTGCCTGAACTGGCCATTGTTGTAGTTGCATGACATGTGCTAATAGGGCTTGAGTCTGGGTTATGAGCTTTCTTTCCCTACAGTGGCATGGGGATAGTCTTTCCTAAGCCCTTGAATTGAGAATAAGAGTGGGATGTCCTTCTAAAGCAAACTTGGATCTAGTACTACCAGAAGGTGGGGATGAAGAATGGAGGTTGGATACAAAAACTAATACTGGCCTCTGCAGGTGACCTTTTTGCAGGATGCATCTGGCTTGCATTCCTTTCATGCTAAAAAGGAGACAAAGCTGACTTCTCAAACTTCACCCAGACCCCAGGCCCCCTCATTAAGACATATTAGTCACAAAGTCTTGGAGAATCAATAACACTGAGGAACTGAGACAGCACATAATTCATTCCCTTGGAAACTTCTCAAAAATATTACCTCGCTGATGCAGAGGAGGATTTCTTTACCTACTATAAATTAGGGGGGAAAAAAGAAGAAAAAAAGGCAGAGGGAAAAATCTGAGCTGCCTGACAATTATCCTTGGTGTGCATCACTCACATTGCAATCACACCCACACGCTGTGCCAGCACTCCAGCTACCACAGGCACGCACGCGCCCAGCACCCTCAGCCACCCTCTCACACACCTACCCCCTCAGAGTCAGCCCACCAGGCTGACAATCACACCGGCAACTCAGCGCCACCAAAGTCTTCTTCCCCCACACCCCACCATTTCCTAGGTTACCAGCTCTCCAACACTGAAGGGGCTGCAGAAACAGGAAGGAAATGCCCCACAGACATGCAGCAAACTCAGCTGCACAGAAATTATGGTCTTGGCAGGTGGAGAAATCCTTCTAACAAACCTTCCCAGAGGTCTGGCTGCAGGTAAAGATCCTGCCACTGGTAATTCCTTCCAGTCCCCTTTCCAAAGTATGAGATGCCAGAGGCATTTGCTAGATTTCAGTAACCAGTTTGGGTCCTTTAAGCATAGGCCATGCTTGCTTGTGCCTGAGCTAAGACAACCCGAATGCAGGCATTACTGGGAGAGATGAGCAGCGTATGAGGAGGAGGAGAATGGAGACAGTGCCAGGAATTCCAAAGAGCAGTCCTCCCCCAGGGAGATGGGTGCCAGGCTCTGTGGGATGGGCAAGAGACATAAATAGCATTCCCCTGGATCCCTGTGGGGCCGTTAGTGGGTGGGCAGCTGGAACCCTCTGTGACCCAGTTAGAAGAAAGCTTTCTGAGGGCTGGGAACTGGCCTAGTGTACAATGAATAGAATAATTGCTAAAACATTATTTACTCAACTGTAAAATGATGATAGCAGTATTTAATTTCTCCCTCAGAGTAGTGTTGTGAGGATTCAATGAAGTAATAAATACAAAGTGCATCGGGTAGTGCCTGGCTTAGAGTAAAACTCAATAAATCTTAGCCAATAATAAGTTGCATGGTATACAGAAAAGAATACAGACCTCCATTCAAAACCTGATCCCAGCACTTACTTGCCTAACCCTACCTCTAGCATCTTCTCTGAGCTTCAATTTCCTCCGTTGTCAAATATTTATTTCATGAGGCTTCTATAAAAATGTATCATGCAATCTCTGTGAAATCTTCTTACCTCTATGCCTCATAAATAATATTTCATAGGTAGCTAGTAATGTTGTCATTATTGTCAACACTGCTATTAACCTTTGTACTTTTTCCCTAACAAAACATTATTACATTCAGCATCTTTACTTACCTTGCTAAAATCCTGGGTAATATGTAGACATACAGGACAGGTATTTCCTCCATTTTCTAGATTAGAAAATTGGGTCTCAGAGAAGTTCAGTAACTTGTCTATATCGAACCAATTAGGAAGAGGAAGTTGGGATACATGCGGTTTCTGGAATCCTAAGATGATGTTTAGTATATTCTGCCACTATACCTCCAAAGTAGAATTGAGGCCACCAAGTGATCCATGACAGTAATGGCAGCTGCTGTTTGTTGAATGTCTATCAGGCTACAGGTCCTGTTCCAAATACTCCCTAAGCTAGAAAAGAATAAGCACAGATGGATCCTGGGAAATCCTGTTTCAGCCAACCCTTGTAGGCCCCCTACAATCTGTTTTAGGTGTGCATTTCTCTAAATTTCACTTTTATACAAACTGCATGCTTTCTGGCAAGATCAAGTCTCCATCTAATTCACATATGCACCTTCTTATGTGCTATTCAGAAGAGTTAATTTTTGCATAGCCTTCCAAAGCTTTTCTCTTGCCTCCTCCGCTCTCCTCCCAGTCTTAAAAAAGACTCTCTCAACCTCACAGCCAGCTGGGTGAGTCATGGGGGATGAGGCCAGCTTCCTCATCTCTCCCCCAAACAAGGACCCACTTTATTTTGACTTTGCTGTCCCATGCACCAGTACATTAGCAGAAAAGGGAGGTTATCCTGGGAAGACCACAGCAGCAGGAACTCTGGTCCCTGTTCAGGCATCATGCAGGTTCCAAACCTCTCCAAGTTTTAAAGTCTCCATCTCTGTCTCAGTAACATTTCACTTCTGCAATTCTAGACTGTTCTACCATTCAAAAGTTCTTCATTCTTCTTGGTAAGAATACTGCTCATTAAATGGTCTCTTTGGATATTAATGTGGGTGTCAAAATGTGGGTTTATGTGATGAGTGTCCTAACACATAAGTGATTCCTAAAGCATTTAAAAGAAAATTAAAAAATGGTTGGAAACAACTTGTTTTATTAGCTTAACTGTCCTAGCCTGGGAAGAAGGATCTATCCTTAAAATAAAGTGACATACTTGACAAGAAAAGGGAAATTCAGAGAGAGAGATTTTAAAGGCACATAAATGATACTAAGGTCTGATATTGCTCCTCTGACATAGATTTAAAATGAGTCATATTTATCAAGGCTTTTATAGAAGGAATGAGAGATGAATATAGATTCCTACACCAGAATCAAGCAGTGAAAGGTTGTTATTTGCTTAAATTCTATGTTTCACAAATTGGAAGAGTAGTACTCATTTTGAAGGGCATTATCTATTAGTCTCCTACAGAGAGACTAGTTTCCTATAGTCTCTGACCAGAGTTTAAGAATGAACCTTTTCAGTGGTCAGAAAAGTATATGTTTTTAAAAAATGGTTTCAAAACCAAGTCCGTACAATTTCTTTCTTCTATTTGACTCATACCTTGACCTGGAAATATCCTTAAACTCCAAGTCAATACTTCCTGTTGGTTGCCCTCATTTGGAATTAATAATAAACAGAGAATGCTTCTAGCCTCCTACAGTTACAAGAAGTGAAGATCTATGTATGATGCATAGTTAGTTACTTGTAGTTCAAGGTCTACCAGAAACTGGTCAGGTAACCATGAGCAAACCACTTTCACCCTCTGGGATAGAAGGGTCTCATTCAAAAGAAAAGGCTATTGACTATAGTAGATTCTGTCAGCTGAAATATCTACAGAAGTACACAAAGGTAATAAACATAGAAGGCTCTTAGGGAAAACTGAGAATCAAGGCCCTGAGAATTAGGAGACAGTCACCTGATTCAAGTGAGCAGCAATTTTACTGATTAACTTCACCAAAAGATGGAAGTTCCAACTTCGCTCACTCATTTATGTGGTAAATGCTTAATGGGAATTTGCTGTGTTCCAGACACTGCTTAAAGCATAGGACAAAATAAGACAAATGTCTCTACCCTTTTAGAGTTTTTATTCTGATGCAGTAAGCAGACAAAAAACAGGTAAATTTGAAAAATATCATTTTAGCCAGGAATAAGTGCTGAAAACAATAAAGATTTCAATTGACTGCCATATAAATAAAAAACTCTATGAAAAGAAACACACAATCCAGGCAAGTTCAGGGTCTTCCTTCTAAACTCTACCGCCTCCTGTCTATGAAACAGGAATAGATCCTGGATAGAAAAAATAAGCATGCTTGATAATAGTTGCTTCATGTGGAACTAAGAGAATAACATAAAGAAAAAAGCAAATGGAAACTTAAACTGTGTTAAATAAGCCAAAGCGAAAGCTGGACTTGTTCTAGAGTAGCTGCTGATATGGTACTCAACTCTGCATTGAACCAGGATTCTCGAGGGGAAACATGGTAATTGTCAAATGCGCAGTGCCAGCTGGATTTCTGCAAGAAGCATGTACAAATATTTCCTAAGGAAGAGCACCCTCAACTTATATTCTCAGGCTTTCACCTATTAAGTTCAACCAAGTGTGATCTGTTTGACTACAGTTATAACTAAAAACACAGAATAAAGAAGCAACAAGATGCTATCAAAAGTGATCAGGCAGATGTTAAAAAAACTGGTCCAATGGATTTCAATCTCCAATTATTTACATGATGAGCTAGGTTATTCAGACCAACTCTCTGCTGAAATAATAAAAATTAGGTTGAAATCTCCTTTAAACCATTTTTAAAAATTGAAAATATAAAAATACTTATAAGACCAAAATCTAAACCAGTACTTTTCAAACAGTAGTCCATCTATGCCTGGAAGACCCTGACACCCACTTTGGGGTATATGAGCTCAAAACTATTTTCACAAGAATACTGAAATGTTATTTGCCTTTTTACTGGGTTGACATTTGCACTGAGGGTACAGAAGAAATTAAGGGTGAAGAGGGCTTAAAAACTGCTGGTACCCTTGAACAAGTTAAGTTGGTAGCCCAAATTATACTAGTGGTCAGGGTATTCCACCATGGACTAACATATAAAAAGCTGGGGAAGGAGGAGAGATCCTAGTTGGCCAAATAGGAACAGCTCTGGAGTGCTGTTCCCAGCGAGAACAATGCAGAGGATAAGTTATCACTGCAATTCCAAATGAGTTTTTAACTGCCCATAGACCAGGAGATTCCCAGGCCAAAAAGCACCACAAGTTCCCAGCATAGCTGTTTCAGCCAGTGCCATGGGTTTCCACACAAAAACTCACAGAAATCTGGGTGGCCATTTCAACTGGCTCCTGGAACACCTGGAAGACAGCCACCCATTCAACTGAAAAAGAGGGGCTGAAACAGGGATCCAGGTGATCTGGCTCAGTGGATCCCATGCACAGAAAGAAAAGCAATCTGAAACACTTCAGATTGAGAGTTTCATAGCAAGCACAGCTGGACCGGGGATGGTCCAGGTCGGTGCGGGGAAGGGTGTCTGTCATTACTGAGGCACTTCACCATTACCAAGGTAGTCTGCCATTACCAAGGAAGTCCACCATTACCAAGGCAGTCTGCCATTACTGAGGCAGACCACTATTACCAAGCAGTTCTAACTGTACCTCTGTAAACAAAACCACAAGGAAGTTTAAACCGCAGTTGAGCAGAGCCCATGGCAGCTCAGCAATGTCTCTGCTGGCAGACTGTGACTATTCTACCTCCCTGCTGGGCAGGGCATCTCTGCTCATTACATCAGGAACTTAAAAACAAAACCCCACCTTCCTAGGACAGAGCATCTGGGGAAAGAGGCAGTTATGAGTTCTGCCGCAGCAGACTTAAACGTACCTGTCAGCAGCTCTGAACAGAACAGTGGAGCTCCCAGCACAGCACTTGAGCTCCTATAAGGTACAGACTGTCTCCTCAAGCAGCTCCCTGGCCCCCATATATCCAGAGACATCTCATAAAGGAGAGCTCAGGCTGACATCTGGCAACTATCCTTCTGGGACAAAGATAACAGAAGGAGGAACCAGCAGCAACATGTATTGTTCTGTAGCCCTCAAGGTGATTCCCAGGCAAGCAGGATCTGGAGTTTACCTCTAGCAGTCCTGCAGCAGAGGGACCTGATGGTTAGAAGGAAAACTAAATAACAGAAATAGCTTCAACAACAACAAAAAGGACATCCACTCAGAGACCCCACCCAAAATTCCCCAACTAAAAACACCACATGTAGATAAATTCAAGAAGATGGGAAGAAACCAGTGTAAAAAGGATAAAAACACTGAAAACCAGAACGCTTCTCCTCCTCCAAGGGATCACAACTCCGCACCAGCAAAGGAACAAAACTGGATGGTGAAGGAATCTGATAAATTGTCAGAAACAGGCTTCAGAAGGTGTGTAATAACAAATTTCACAGAGCTAAAAGAACATGTTCTAACTCAATGCAGAGAAACTAAGAACCTTGAAAAAAGGTTAGATGAAATGCTAACAAGAATAAACAGCTTAGAGAAGAATATAAACGACCTGATGGAGCTGAAAAACACAACACGAGAATGTTGCAAAGCATACACAAGTTTCAATAGCCAAATCAACCAAGCAGAAGAAAGGATATCAGATATTAAAGATCAACTCAATGAAATAAAATAAGAAGGCAAGATTAGAGAAAAAACAGTGAAAAGAAATGAAGAAAGCTTCCAAGAAATATGGGATTATGTGAAAAGATCTAATCTACACTTGATAGTGTACATGAATGTGACAGAGAGAATGAATCCAAGATGGAAAACACTTTTCAGGATATTATTCAGGAGAACTTACCCAACCTAGCAAAGCAGGCCAACATTCAAATTCAGGAAATACAGAGAACACCACAAAGATATTCCTCAAGAAAAGAAACCCCAAGGCGCATAATCATCAGATTCACCAGGGTTGGAATGAAGGAAAAATGCTAAAGGCAGCCAGAGAGAAAGGTGGGGTTACCCACAAAGGGAAGGGCATAAGACTCACAGCAGATCTCTCAACAGAAACCCTATATGCCAGAAGAGAGTGGGGGCCAATATTCAACATCCTTAAAGAAAAGAACTTCCAACGTAGAATTTCATATCCAGCCAAACTAAGCTTTATAAGTGAAGGAGAAATAAAATCCTTTATGAATAAGCAATTGCTGAGGCATTTCATCACCAACAGGCCTGCCTTACAAGAGCTCCTGAAAGAAGGACTAAATATAGAAAGAAACGACCAGTATCAGCCACTCAAAAAACCTACCAAATGGTAAAGAGCATTGACACAATGAAAAACAACTGCATCAACTAACAAGCAAAACAAACAACTAGTATCAAAATGGCAGGATCAAATTCACACATAACAATATTAACCTTAAATGTAAATGGGCTAAATGCCCCAATAAAAAGACACAGACTGGCAAATTGGATAAAAGTCAAGACCCATTGATGTGCTGTATTCAGGAAACCCATCTCCTGTGCAAGGACACACATAGGCTAAAAAT